TGAACATTTGCTGCTCTACAACTCCAGCTTTTCTCATTTTCATTAATTCAGGAAATCTATTAAGTTTTCTTAGATTTGGAGTGGACAACCTTTCTTGAGGCTTGGGCCACAACTTAGCTTTTGAGTGATATGCTGGGCTGTGTGTGTGTGTGTGTGTGCGTGTGTAGAGGTGGTGACAAAACAGTAGATAGAACTTAGATAAACAGAAAATAATTAAACAAATTAATGTGATTGCTCCCAGATTAATGTACATTTCTTGCTATGTTACATGAAAAAATCTAATTAGGCAGCAACTTTTGGAAAAGGTCTGAGAATTGCACCCCGGGCTTTGAAAGGTGGATGGTGCAGATGCTATATCTCAGCTCTAAGAATACAGAATGAAGGTCCAATTAATATATATTAGGCCAATAGGCTATTCTTCCTAAGCAGTCAAGATATGAAAGAGTTTGAGAGGTGCCTGTCATCCCTGTTTAAAAAAGTCATTCCTGTTCTGGGGTTCACATGGTAGCCACACAGGCTTAGGAACCCTTTGAGTTGAGGCATTAAGAAGCTGATAACAGAGGATGACCATTTGTCATAGCCCTACCACCATCTTCTTGACCACTATTTTCCTTAGCCCATATTGGCTAGGAAAAGGCACAGCTTGTTGGTTATCGAAAGTGCGCCCACACAGGATCTAAAGCACCCCTGCCCACTTCAGATCTGAATATTGCACACCTCTAAGACAATGGCCCCATTTTCTAACTGCTAGAAGGGAACACTGAATAGCACCCGCAGTTAGAATCCTCAACATTTAAAAGACATAACTTGAGGAATACGTCAACCGTTTGCAAGCATTCCTGAAACAACAGAGCAAAAAAACAAGCAAACCATAGGACGATACACATTTACAGGAGAAAAGCATACAACTCAACAAAGAGGTTTCTGGCATCTTCTAGTCAGCTCTCTGACTCAGCCAGAAGTCAAGGAAAGTCAGACAAAAGATGCAGTCAACCCAAGTAGACACAAAATCTGTGGAAACTTCTTCTGCTGAGAAACTGCTGAAACAGCCTCGCCACCCGTCGGGTTTCTTCAAAGGTATGATCTTGTGGCTGCCTCCTTCTGCTGATAAGACATCTCCCTTACTGGATTTAAAGAAACAAAGAGTGCCAATTGTAGACTTGGAAGAGCTCCAAACCCTTTTCTCAATATGCACTGAAGATCTGCTGGAGGCTGGATAAGTATGAGAATTTCTAAAATATGTTCCTGGCCTCTGATTTCTTGTTCCATTCTGTCCTGGATGTAGCAGATATAATTATATGCAGAATAAGCTTGCACAGAATGGAAGAAAAATAAGCCACTATTTCTAGCAGATTTTGGAGACTGCTGGGAAAAATAAGCAGAGTAAGATAAGAAGTGCAATACTCAGATGTCAGGAAAGAGAAGTTATATTTAGTACCTTCTTACCAGATATCTGTTACCACTATTTTCTTGAATCACATGGTATTTTATGCCGCATCAGGCGGTCAGCTGACCCAAAAAGGAGTATTATCACTCAAGCCAAAGTCTATCAATTACTCCTGAGCTTGCGAAACCATATTTCAGAAGCTATTAAGACATAATGAAATTTCTAGCCATGCAGAGTTGAACCCAAGACAAAACAAAAAACCAACACAACAACAAAAAACCCTATTCACATTTCACTACCATTACATAAAATCACAAGCAGCTGGACCACAGTGTTTCACATGGAGATGGCAATCTTGCTACTAACTGCATGATGAAAGTGATGATGAGTCTAGCTGGACTCTTCAGACAACATCACAATAATTCTCTATTAACCCTAAACCAAGCACGGGGTTGCCATCCTACGATAGCCAAGCATATTTCATCAAGCCAGATGGCAATCCCCACTCCCCCATTTCATTTCCATTTGTTCTCTTATTTTACCACAGGTACGATTTGCCATTTGCACTGCTTCCTGAAGCCACTGGAATTTAAAAAAGGGGGGGGGTTTCCTTGATAGTGAAAGGGATACAAAAGGTCCGCTTTGCCCTTATCCTCAGGAAATTGCAATGACTGGGACTCCATCTCCCACCACTGATAGTCGTAAGAAAATCCACTGGTCTCCTGCCCATCTTGGAGCTGGGAAAGCTGGATCTACTTCTATTGCATCTGAAAGAGGAATGTAATTGGAGCTTCAGCTACAAGCTGGAGAGCAAGCTGGAGTTGCTGGTTTAGCATGGTGGATTCCGTCCCTATATGCTGAACAAACTGCAAGGTCAATGGTGATACGCTCCCTTGCTCCCCCAGAACTGCAGGAAGAACAGGGGTGCTTCCGGTCACGGCACCGGGTTCTGAAAGGTGATACGAAGAGAAGACAATCCTACCCATCTCTCCAGTTCCCAACGTACAGCTTGACTCAATCCCTGGTCTAACAAGGCGCATCTCCAAAGCCAAGAAAAACTGTGGACTGTCACTCATCTTCCTCAGCAGTCCAATCTTCAGAAAAAAGCCCAATCACTTACATCAAAAACAATGGGCACGTGTTTGGGGACGCCAAAAAGAATGCCCCAAAGCAGCCCTGGCTGAGTGGCATAAGCCTCCTATATTGTGCTGAGTCGCATTCTTCCTCCGACCAGTGACACATTTGGGGACTGCCTCCATAAATGATGGCAGCCTCCATTTCCAGGCCAGGTGATTTCTCATATTCAGGCAGGAACATACTAATCTGCAGTGAATGCAACTTGCTGCTAATTTCCAAAGGAGGCAATACAGTACTATGCCACGGGCTTACCACTGCTGCTCTGATTATTAAGGATACAGAGGAAAACCAAAACAAAACACCAACATCAAGTGAAACATTTCAATTCTCACTTTTGATATATTTAGAAGCAAATTTTACACTGGGGAGAGGACAGAGCTTCGGAAACACAGAAACAGATAACTAACATTCCAATTAAAGGGGTACATTATGGGAAAATCAAGCTCCCATCTGTGGGACAAGTTTAGCTACTTAACCATACTACAGGCCAACTGTGGCTTCTCAGTGTATGACAGAATAAAACAGGTGACAATCTACACACAGTACTCGTTTCATCATTTATGTATGAATATTCAGCACAAAAGGCTAAAAGGGTAGGTGGCAGAGAGATGATGCTTGCAAAACGATGATCTAATGATTATATGTTTATCTGAAAAATTGCATAGCTTAATTTTTTGGCACTCCTGAAAAGATACAAATTGACAGACTAGTAAAATACCAAAAGGAGAACTAAAAGTGAAGTATTCTATTTGAGATGGTATTAAAAGGAGAGAACAAAGAGTTTTACTGCTGCTGTCTGCATACAAAGCACCGATCAGAATGGGTGCAAGATTTGCTGTTAAATGTGGCTTTTGCACATCAATTTCTAGAGACATTCTGATTCCAAACTACCCATCACCTTCCCCCCCCCCAGCTCACACTATAGGCACATTGTGGGACATGGGTTCAGTGATCCTGGATGAGGAAAAATAAAATTCTGATATGAATTTCCAAAAACAGAGTAGCAGATGTAGCATCAGATACTGTGAGAAAGAGATTATTAGAAAACCAGCCTTCATCCAACTAATTCTAGGCTGAGGGTCACTTGAATAGATATTCTCCACAACAGCCTTCTTTAGACTGGAGCCTTCCAGGTGTGTTCTGACTACAACTCCAAGAACTCTCAGCCACACTGGGAAATCTGGAACTTGTAGTCTCCTGGTATATGGAAGACACCAGGTTGGAGAATGGTGCTGTAAATCAATAAATTATCTTATATCTGGCAAGACATACTTTTTTTAGCTTTTTACTGAATGAACATAAGATTGAGAAAATAATTTTTTAAAAAAAGAAAAAGAAATGAAATGTGGGTGTGTGTCTGTGTCTGTGTGTTGAGTGGGGGGAGGGAGATTTTAAGGAGAAATGAAAACTTTTTAAATGTCAATATACAGTTATTTCTACCAGCATGGCATTCTACAGATGAGCATTATTTTTCCAACATTTCTAATTACAACTCCCTCCCCCCACAAAAAAACCTCACAGTAGCAGAAACCAAAGTAACCAACTGCAACATATAGTCTTCTTACTTCTCCCTCTTCTTACAAGCACCCAGCCACCGCCCGGAAAACAATCATCACCTTCTCAACCATATCTGATACTCCTGAAGTACCATACTGATATCTCTGATACATCTTGCGTATCTATAGGCAAAAGGCAAGCAACCTTGGCAGCAATGTTGAGTTGTAAATAGAGCTTTGGACCCCGAATGTGTTGGATTACAGCTCCAAACTTTCCCTGTTCGTGGGTCTGGGGATGGCGGGTTTTGAAGACCCAGTGACTTGTAAATCATGAGACTCACGAAGGTTGATTTATATTAATGTTACTGTCAGAGATATTGTAGTTGCGCCGAGCAAAAATACTCAACGGCCCCTTCCAACCCTATGGTTCTTTTAGACAAAGAGATCAAGCACAGAGAGAAGTATGTGCAAATTAGTTCTCCACTGCAGTAATCTTGCTTTTCAAGGTTCTAGTGGTCAGTAGGCAGCTACTATTAAAATGGACAGGATCCAGCAGCATGATATATCATTTAGGACAATTTCCTAATCTAGGCTACCAGCAATCTAATTTGAACAGAGACAACAAATACAAAGTCAGACAAGAGAAAGAACCTAAGAGGTCATCAAGCACAATCTTCTTAATAAATAAAATATAAGTATCTTCACAGCTGCAGTTTTTCTATCATTTTTATCTCTTTTCAAATTTTAATATTGCACTCCAACATAAAATTTTCTCATGGCAGTATAACAAGTCATCATAACAGAAGTTTAAAATAGTTGATAAAATAGGCAACAATGAAATTAACATTTCTAAAACTAAAGGAAAATAGAGGGCAGGAAACCTCTCTGGGAGGAGGGTATTATAAAAGGTTCACTTGACCTTTGTCCAACACCACTCAATTTAGAGACCAGTTTTAAATAATATGTTTCCATATTCTTGCCTGTATCTGAATCTTTTTGATCTCCATTTGTTCCAACAGTAAAAGGTAATTTCCGTTTTGTAGCTCTCTCCTTCACTTCTTTGCCACCATCACTCCGGTCCAATTTTGGAGTCTTGGTTAGAGAAACTTTATCTTTATCCTAGAAAGGAGACAGGAAAATTAGGATTTTCACAAAGGCCTTCCTTGATACTTGCTATTAGCAAGGCTGATTGTCTTAAGCAAATTTACTATCAAACTACTGTCCACAGAAAAATGTACGCTTGTCTGCACATTGCCAGAGTTTATGACAGTTGCAAGATAGTTGTCAAACCTCTTACTTCAAGATGCAGCTTTGCGGTATTTTAACACTTGCAAAATGGTCTTGAAACTCTTAGTTCAAAGGCAACTGTGCAATACTGATAGGGGTTAATCTTGGGGGTTCTGATCCTGCATAAAAGCACCAACAACACAATAATGAATACTGAGACCCTGAGTTATGGGAACCAAAGAGCTGTATGCCAGAGCCAATGGTCATCTTCTCCTTTGCACAGAGCTGGTCTGCACTATCTACTTGCACTGGTCCCTTCCCTCCTCCTCGGTCAGATGGAGAGAGTCACCCCACTTGCACAACGTGGCTCACATGGGTTTCTCTGCACAGCTCTTTTGTTATCTCAGTGGAGGGGCCTTTAGAGCACACTGTAGGACATTAGTGCTGCCCACAGACCACTTGCAGCTGTGCACCACATGGTTATCGGTGTAAGCCGTATGGCTCTTTCATGATCTCAGCACAATTCACAGGCCCCTCTATTGGGACCAAGAAAGAAGAGAGAAGTCAGTTTAGACCACAGGGTACAAGCAGAGTGATTCCCTCCACCACTGGCCAAGCAAACTGCTCAAAGAAGAAAGTTTGCTGCTGTGAAGAAAGTCTATAGATGCATCAAGACCCACCACATCTGAGCGTGAAGAAAGAGAAGCAAATACAGGGACATTGTGCAGATGATATAACTGGAACCTTTAGAACGATATCTACGCATGCACAACAGCCCATCTATGAACACCTAGAGTAACAACAAGGGGATAAAACCCTTTACATGTATGCTGAGGTTTGCACATGCAGAACCGCAAACAAAGAGTACTGCCTGCACCGATGCCGTACGGCTTTAGGCGGGATGTTAGAGACCGCTTAGCTGCCCAGCCCTGCTGTGGAGTGAGGACGATTTGGAAACTTTCTGATGATCAAATGTACCTACTAAATGTTTTCTATATCAACACTTGTGTTCAGCAATGTAACACTACTACTACCTACCTGTTCCAACTAAATTTTACACAAATTCAGAGTAAAGTGAACACGGGAGGTTCTAAGTAGTTATACAAGAAACAGAAATGCCTAAAGGTGATGGTCTGCAATGGGCCTGCAGGCTTCTTAGCTGGGGTCCCTGCAGAGATGAAGTGGGTTTGAACGTGCTGCTTTTAAATTAGTTTGTTTTTTAAAGACTGCACGCCACCCCTCAAAGGCAGGTTTTCTCAGGGCAGCTCACAACAGACTACATTCTGAGGAATTTCTAAAACAAAAATATTCAAACACTATATTTAAAATGCATAATATTGAAACAATAAATCAATAATAAAACAAAACATTTCCAAAAAAGATGCATTTTTAAAAAATCAACAGGCTTACTAAAATGTCTGGGAGATAAAATCATTTCTGCTTCATGCTGAAAAGACAACTGGGGGGCAGGGGTACTCCACTGGGGAGAGCATTCCAGTAATGGGGCTGGTGACCCCTGAAAAGCCCAGGCCCCAGGAATCAGTCGTTTCTGATCTAAGGGCCATGCTTGCAAGCTATGAGCTCTATGATCCAAAGAAATTTGTGTGGCCCACTGGCAGTGGTGTCATAAAGACTTTCCCTTAGATGAAATCCCATCAACATTAGTGGCAATGGAACAGGATGAAACAGTTGTATTTTTCCAATAACAATATACACCAATTTTTGCATTGTGAGAACATGCAACTCAGGAATATGTTCATTATCCAGGGCTAAAATCAGTACATTCCATTGTGGGGAATGGATTGAACTATGTACATTAAAAACTCTTGCGGGTGTGTGTGTGTGTGTGTGTGTGTGTGTTTTAAATCCTGATTTAGTGACTCACTCTGGGTCGCAAGGAGGCTGCTATTTTGGAAGGCCTCAAAAAGAGATGAATCAGTTTCTAAAACCCATTATGTTAGAGACATCTTGTTATAATCAGCTAGGTATCTAGACCAGTTGGAGTCTTTTAGAAAACTTGTGACTCAAACACTGAAGGAAGACTCTGATGTCAAGGGCTTCAGAAGCACATTAGGAATAAATGATACCGTGCATAACGTTTCAAAGCAGAGTGCCCAATAACTTTTAGTTATCCTCAGGATTCGTTTGCTGCTAGATGCCTTGTAAAAAAGTTTATGAGTGCAACAAATGTCAAATGGACCAATGAGCTAACTATCTGCTGATCTGAAAACACTTCTTAACAAAGTTGTGCCTTACATGAAGGCTTAGACTTTTCTCATTACAATTGACTTTCAAGGACCAAAAGTTCCAGGAACTGCATTTCAGAAACAACAACGAATGAGGGAGCCAACATGAAGTCATGCTTATGAAGCTGAATCAGAACCCACGAGACACAGGTTCAAGCCCATCCTCAACCATGAAAACTCACTGGGCTAATTATGGTTCCTCAACCCAACCTTTCTTACATGTTTGCTGTTGTAGAGAAAAACTGGAGAAGGAAGCACTACATATATGAGCTCCTAGAGGAAGGCAGGGAATCTCAGTTCATAGAGTAACTGACATGTAAATTACAAGTTCCAGAACAACAATTTAAATGTATTTATTTATTCATTATATTATGCATTAATGTAAATAAATTTCCAAAGTATTTTTTTTTAATATGTTGGTTTTTAGTTGTAAGCTGGCCAGAGTCATTTAAATGTCAGGTGGCCTATAAATTAGATTTGAATAAATAAATACATTTGTTCTGGAACTTGTAATTTACATGTCAGTTACTTTATGAATTGAGGTTCACTCTTAATAAGCTGTTTTTAGCTCAGCAAATATTTTCTACACTTTTTAACTCTCTCTGTGGTCAAATGAAGACTGTGCAGGAAGACATCAAGCCATTTGAAGTTCACTACATCTGGAGGCATCCGGTTGGGGAAGGCTGCTATATAACAGTTTGTATATGCATGTATGGTGGAGACTACTGTAACCTAAAATGATATGATTAAGCTTTTGGGCAGGACAAAGAGACTGCAGACTTTGTTTTAAATAAAAGTGTACATCAGATAAAAGCATGCATCAATATTTTAGCTAATCTAACTCCTTCCTGGTAGAAGTTACCCTGAAAATAGAGCATTAATTATTGTAGTTGATTTAGGACTATTTTGGGAAAGCCATATAATCTTGTTGACAAGAGTCCTGTGCCCCCCTCCAAAGTTTGTTGACGTGTGTGTGTGTGTGGGGGGGGGATGCCACATAGTAATGCTGGCTGCTTCCCTCATGGGCAGTTTTGTGTGCCATTGCAGTCCCAGTGATGAGACCAGGCCATTGCTGCACATCTAAAGTTCCCTTCTCTTTCCTGGTCTCTAGTAGGAACTTTCTGTGCAATTCTTTTTAAAAAAGCATACTAAGTTTATTTCCAATTACCCATTCTGGATGATTGGCTATTTATTTATTTCTAGATTGTCTCTGCTAAGTAATGTTCCAAAGAAATGGACAAGGAATCTTCTGCTCAGAGGGCAGTTTCTGTTTCAGACAATTTCTAAATAATTTTAATTCAGGTCTTCACAATGCACCTAACTTTTGAAAAAACAAATCCAATACTGTAATGCTTTGCAATCAGTTTCAGAAATTCTGTAACCCTAAAAAAGAGGGGCCACTTAGCAGGGAAATTCTTCCTTAGTTCAAAGCAAGAAAATTTCCCTCTTATTGATGAAGTTATTTGTGCGCCAGGACAAATTTTTAAGAGTCAAATGAAAGGCACATTAATACTTCCGTTCAGCTTCTCAATATAAAAAATATTTACCTGCAAATCACTAGGTAACAGCTGATGGTATTAAGGAGTTACCGTTAGCCTTCTGGTCAAAATTATGTGTAAAATATACCATTTCAAGTTTTTATTCGAGCTGGGAGAAAAAAAAATTAGCAGCCAACATGGAAAGCAGCAGCCATGGGGAAAAAACTGGAGTGGCTCTTGTTTCTTTTCTGCCTGCCAATGAGTTTTGAAGTGGAAGTGCACTGTGCAAATCTATCTGCTGTTGGGCAAAATGTTTTTGGACATGAGATTTTTATTATTAGTGGTGGGCAAAAAAGGAACAAAAGCTTATTGGGCTGGTTAGTTCTTCAGATTCAATTCCAAAAAGGTGTTTTAGAGCCCGCTAGGATACAATTATAGCACCTCTCTGCAATTCTTTAAAAGAGCTGTTTCTTTCCTCAGGATCACCCAACGGCTGATAAGCAGAAGAGCTACCCCGTTCTAGCACTCAAGGGCAGCGAGTTCCCCTCCAGGTTTCTCAGCTGTGGCTCACATTTCTAATTTCTTACAGCCTTCCTATCGGAAGCAACCAGGGTCCCTCCCTTCTTTAGAAAAGCTCTATTAAGAAGACAGACTATTAGGGGAAATTATTTTTCCAATTTTGCTGAAAGATGCAGCACAATAACAATCTAATTACTTCTTCCAATGCTACATTCCTGCTTTCTGTTTTTTTCAGTATGAACTTAAGAATGAACACTGCAGAAGCCTTTCCTCATATATCCATGAGAAACAATACAGGGTTTGCTGTACCTCTCAGCTGTCTCTTTCCAAACTGCATCAGTATCCAAAGAAAGATGACGCTTCTTCAAAAACAGTCAGAAATCTCACACCTATCACAAGGTAACTGCAGGTCCACCGTGCTACCTTAGAACAGAGGCTGATACATCATTAACGTCCAGAGGATGCAACTTTAGTACATAAGGATGGGTATATATTCCTCAATAAATGGCTGGAGTCACAATTAAACATTTGAAACCACAATTTCTTAAATTAATAACACACTTATTTAAAAAACTCCAGGCTAAGAATCTCAATGCCAGCAATGAAGTCAGTTGTGCTAAATATACATACCTCAAATTACAATTCCTATATTGCTGTAGCTTAAAGCCTGATTTCAATGAGTGAAAATTCCTAGTGCTCTCTGCATCTTGTAAAGCAGATTATTCTGAATCCTTTCCGAAATCAAAATTACTCATCCCATCTTCTACTTTCTCCTCCTAATGAACTTATAATTTGTGGAAACAACTTCAAACTGGTGAGCAGTTTTGAATGTTTATTTCAAAAGGATACCATGGCAAAGTATTCTCTACATTTCAATAATAGATGTGGTGACATCCACTAATTTAGCAGGCTTTGAATGGGGATTAAATAATTCATGGAGGAAGTAGGGAGATCTATCAAGAAAAATTAATTCTTGATGGGTAAATGGAACCTCATGTTAAAGGGAGACTCATTCCCACAATTAATTAAATTTATATACCACCCATCTCATATACGTGACTCTGGGTGGCTAACAATCAAAAGCACAATAAAAACAGAATGAAACAATCACAATTTGAAAAGCAACATCAATGGTCCTTTAAGCAGTTAGGGCGCCGCCAGCATTGTGATGTTTGATAGACACACATGCATAGAGGGCAGAGCTCACATGAAACATGAAACACCTCTTTCACCATTGTGATGAATTGCTCATTCTGCAGATACCTCTGGGATAATATTAAACAGGTCTCATTATCACCACAACCATGACTGTAGACAACCTAGTCTCGCTTTTTTGGATTTCAACCGTATAAAGTTTTATCTTAGATCTGAAGAAACAGATGCATACTCTAGTATTGTCTGTTGCACAAAGCTCTCCAGAACCAGATAAAAGAAACCTAAATCCCAGTTATACTCCAAGTAGGACAGTTCCACAAAAATAATTTTGGTTGCCAATTCCAATTATCATGGGAACAGAAGAGAAGATTCTGCCATTTTCAATTATCATGGGATTCAGAAGAGAATTTCATAGGTACAGGTGCTAAACATTTCATCCCACACCTTCATGAGACTGCTGCATAGTAAATTCAATGGCATTTGCACCCCCAGTATCAGGTCAATTGCTATTTTTTCATTCCCACATTTCCTTCTCTCCTGAAACGTAAAGTATAAGCTCCTCAGGGCAATTATTATTTTTAATATTACTCTACAAATTCAGAAAGCGTTTGTGATGAAGAGTTGGACTAAGACCAAGGAGACCCGGTTCAAGGTCCCATTCTGCCACAGAGCTCACAAGCAGATTGTGGGCCAGTCACTTGTGCTTAATTCAACCTACCTCACAGGACTGTGGTTGTAAGGATAAAACAAAGAGTAAGAAATAAAGAAAGGCAGGGTATAAATGTGTATATAAAGATGGAGAATATATAGCCCTGTACTTGCTATGAGACTACAACCCCCAGCAGCCCTCACAGCTAATCAAGTGGTGGGTATAAGATGATGGAAATGGAAGTTGGAATGGGGCCATAAGTCCTCCGTCACATTATAAAGCACTATGGCCTTTCTGAGACTGAGAACTAGCACCACCTCCGCCCCTCTTAACTCATATTACAAAGAAAGATTTCAGGGTTTGAGATTATTACTTTAATGAAGCAGAGTGGAAAATAGCAGAGTGGTGAGAAACTGTGCGGGTGTTTCTCCTGCTAGCTTGTTTATTAAAGCCTAGGTGATACAGAGTTAAATTTGGTGAAACAAAAACCAAAATTCACACAATCCGGCAAGCTTTTGCTGCAAGGACAACAGCTCCCAGCTGGCTGGCTGTGACATTCTGCAGATGAGTACACAGAGAAGAGACAGGAGAACTCAGCCAATAATAAACATGCTCTAAACACACTCTTCCCTCTCACTCTAGCTTCTATCCTAGAGTGAGGATCCTCCTCAGACAATAGCTCCATCAACAGCTCATCCTGCCAGGCACTTTTACTTTAACACCAGCGTTGTGCTGGTCTCAGGCCAAGGCTTGGAACAGCATTCCCAGCAGTGTGCATTCTAATACGCCCCTCCCGAGCAAGCAAAGTCAAGCCAGATGAAGGCATGCGGGCAAAAGCCTTTGGGAAGTGTTGACAAACACAAGATAAATTAAAAGCTATACTCCCATAAGTGTACACACAGCAATCCCTAGAAGCAAAGGTCTAATGACCAACTGCCTTTTCTCTTAGTCATGGTTTCGGCACACAGCAGTGCAGTTAACTAGAAAGCAAGGATACGTTGGTACACTTTCTTGCAGCCAATTAACTAGACTCCTATGCTTGGCCCTTTGTGAACAACAGCGTGTACTCTTTTTTACAGGTTGAGAAAATTAAATGTAAGCAAGCATGGAGGATCTATTCTTGCTAAATCTTGTCAAGTCCATCCTGCTATGAATCAAGAGAAAGCAGTGGAAATCACATTCTAGTTAGGGGGTTACAGAAGATTACATTCCCAGTATTCCTAAGAACTGCAAGTCATACCTGTTTTCTTCAAGACATTTCACTACAATGATGAAAAGAAAAATGGATGTTTGCATGAAGACTGCAGCAACATCTATTTTATCATTTGTAACTATATACAGGTAGTCCTCAAATATCGGAATTCGGTAAAATACGGCCGCATCGCTTAGCGACAGCAATCCCTGCAGTCCTAGTTGCTGTAGTTAACATAATCCTACGGTCATTAGGCGAGGCAACTTCCTGCCAGCTTCCCACAATCAAGTCAGTGGGGAAGCCAGCAGGAAGCTGCAAATCCCAGGCAGCTCACAAGCAGACTGGCAGGCAGGCAAGTGGCAGGTGCCGGATGGGGGAAGGTGTGAGGAGGCGCACAAGGGTACGAGGGAGGCATGGTGTGGGTCGGGGAGGGTGTGCAAGGGTGCGAGGGAGGTGCAGCGAGGGTCGGGGAGGGTGTGTGGGTGTGCAAGGTAGGCATAGTGAGGCTTGGAGAGGGTGTGCAAGGGTGTGAGGGAGGTGCAGCCAGGGTCGGGGGGGTGAGTGGCTGGCGCAGCACAAGCACAGAGGGGCTGGGAGAGGGTGCGCAGGTGGGGGAGACTTACCCCAGCAACTTGCAACCTTTCCTGCTGGCTGGCTTCCCCACTGACTTTCTGGGGAAGCCAGCAGGGAAGGTTGCAAACGGCAATCACGTGCACAGGGCGTTGCAACGGGTCATAAGTGCGAGCCAGTTGCCAAGCACTCAGATTGCGATCATGTGACTGTCGGGGTGCTAGGACAGCCGGAACTCCGAGGACCAGTCATAACCACCATTCAGCACAGTCATAACTTCAAATGGTCGTAAGTCAAGGACTACCTGCAAAATTTTCTCTTTATATAATCAGCAGCATTCTGTAGCTCTGCATTTGTTTCTAAGCCTTCTGGCTAACATTTTTGCCCATCCTTGCAAATACAGGGATCAGAGTGGATACACCTAATTTTAACCAAAAGGCTGAGAAGCAATGATGGATCTATCAGTGCATGTTACCACCAATATGTGAAAGGTAATGGGAATAGTTAGCATTTCCTTGTTCACACAACTGGGTGGGCATGAAAATATGATTAAGACTTCCTACAAATGAGGAGAGCTGATTACTTAGTACAGCAAAACCAGAAACCTAACAACTCAAATCTTTTGAGTAATCTTCTCCCAACAAAATTCACCAAAGTACTGCAAATATGAAGAGGACACATTACCTTTTTCCCAGTTTGTTTCTCCACCATGTTGTTGCTGAGAGAGAAATCTTCTGATTGTGGTGTTTTAGAACACCCACCCTTGGGCATCGTTCTGCCTTCCTTACTTGTCCTTCATTTACGCTGCCGTCGCTTCATCATCAACTGTCTGAAGTAAGAAAACACACAGATGAACCATGATCTTTAAAAAAAGAAAAAAAGTTGGGGGAGGGGATAATTGCTATTCCCACAAACTGAGGCACAGTGTGAGCCTCCCTGGAGCACAGGTTGACAAAACAAGAACTGTGATGGAAACTGTCTATGGACCCAGAGTTTGGAACTTCACCTTCCCCTTTTCATGTGCAAAGGAATGCAGGCAGCACTCCCAGTACCACCTGCGTGGAAAATCTTTTCTTGTAGATAACGGTCCCAAGGACAATTCTCTGGATTCCTTAGAGTGATACAGTCTTTTTTCAAAATCTGTGTACATGTACATACACACAGGCACATGCTTTTCCATCAAACCTTAATCCCTTGTTCATATGGCTGATGCAATTAAATTGAATTCTCCTGATGCTCATGGGAGTATCACATAAAGCAATTTATAGTGGATGCTAAATTGCCAAAGAAATTTGCTTCTGATACCAAACCACTGCTAGAAGCAAGCAGAGATGGAAAACTATAAAGATAGCATCTAACGTTTTTCGCACAAATGAGAAAATGTCTTCCCCGTGCTACTCAGTGCTACCTTTTTCTATAAGTCTAGGTAAAGCATAATTCAGAAGCACAGCAACAAAGCTTTGTTACCCATGCCGTGAGTTGCTTGGTTACAAGATTAAAAAAACAACTAAATTTTGCAGTACACAGTAGCAACAGTAGTAGTAGTAGTAGTAGTAGTAGTAGTAGTAGTAAACACTGTAACACATCTCCAACACATTTTACAATCATTTACACATTAAAATTGAATTCAATGGCATGGACCAGTAATGGCTTTGTTTTAACCTAAGAAAGCAGTGCTGGACTGACCACTGAAAAAGGTTTCCCTTACTAACTACCACATTACAGTACAATGTAAGATAGTTGCCACATCCCACAATTTGGCTACACGTATACAAGCAAGCTTTCCTTTCCTTTCCTTTCCTTTTCCTTTTTTTTTTTTTTAAACAAAATCAACTGAAAGAAATTGTTCAGGAGCAGATAGACTCCAGTATGCATGACTAATTAGGGTTGGGTTGGGGGAAATTGGTGACAAAAAAAACTTTCACTCTTTTCTCTCAAGTATTTGAAAATTTTATGGTATGCATAGTGGGGAAGGAAAAAGCTGAGATGTATTAAGGCTCAAATCAATACTTCTACCAGCAAGAGCTCCATGAAAACACAACTTCTTTCTAATTGCTCTGACGTACTGGGTCCAGTTATTGGGCACAAGAGAAATCACACAATAAGGGTTCAAGACAAAACAATCCTAAATCCATCTCTTGAAAAAGATGACCCGCTAAGTTATAATTACCATAATTTTCTTCTATTTTACTAAATGTTCACAATAAGAAGTTCTATAATATAATGAAAGCAGCTGAAATTTCATTTACAGCATAGAGGAGTAACACATTAATTTGCAGGGTAGCTACCTGAATTTCTTTTATTCAGTTAAATATCTGGTCTGCTCTATTTACAGGTTCCTGACCATTTATGACCTTTTCTAGTATTTAAAACTCTGAATTACAACTATATTGGAAAAATCCTATGCCTAAAATATTAAGTAGACAAAACTCCCCCAAACCCTTTGTTTCTAATATCAGCCTTGAAAGCCATTTGTCAGTTGAAAAGACAAAATATAGTCTTTTAAAATAAATTTTAGCCAACGAAAGACTCCAACCAAAAGAAAGTATAATAGTGATTTCAGAAGAGGTATACAACGGAACCCTTTTTCATGCATGCAAATACAGATTTCAAATAGACCACTTCTTTTTGTTGGTTTGATGAGTCCATATCAATGACGATACCATATAAATAATGAAAGTTTACAAAAAGAAAATGCTATTCAACTTAAAAGAAAAGTTGATGACAAGAATCAAAAGTGGAGATCAAAACAGTTCCTAAACTAGGCAATAGTTGCTCCTAATATAACATGACAACGCTGCCAACAAATTTTAAGGGAAAGACTTCCAAACACGATTGTATTGGCAAACAGCTATAATGGTTAGAACTGCTTAATCTGTCAATGTATCATTCGTGTTCTCAGCCAACAATACAGCACCATATGCGTGAAAAACATAAATGCATTCAGGTCCCCCAATGTCACAGACACACTCCTGTATTCTTCATAAATGCATTACCAACCAAGGGGACACACACATCTTTGCTAAAGAGCAAAAATTTACCCACATAAAACAGCATTGCATTTCCCAAATTTTGCTCACTATTGCCTCTTATACACTTTCTGCTAAGTACCTTCCTTTTTGCAGTCTTCACACACCTTTTATAACTATATTCATATTTTACCATTTTTCCAGTTACGCTATCTATACCTGCACCCTTACTTTCTTTTCAAGATTCTCACAGCATTGATTTTTTTCTTCATTTTTTTCAATCTGTCACATTTATTACGTTCATTTCAATTCCACCCCATGATGCAGAATCTCTAAAATTCTCCTTTCTATATTCCCTCATTTCAGTTTCATTCCATATACTTTCATCACTTTTATTCTTAATTCCATTCACTCTGCTGAGGGCTGCTTGCTTAGCCCTTTTCACCTAAAATTATTTTTTTCATTTCTGTCATAATTCTATATATCTATTATCTATCATGCTATTCCCCTTCAGGATCAGCAACATTATACAACTTTGTCTCTTACGTTCATTCGTTCAATGCAGTTTCTTCCCTTTTCTTTCATGTCTATTTTTCCAAGATCACTCGACACTATAAAAAACGGCCTGTCTCACATTCAGAACATCTTATCAACTTCCAGTCCTTCATTAGTTCTCTCAATCTTTCACTGTAAAGAATCAAATAAATCATGCTTTTCAATTCATTCTTTTTCCACATGTAGATAATGAACAAACTACTTAAACAATGCATTTGAAACAGGCAGACCTTTTTTCTAAGCACCAAATCATCATCTTTTTCATTAAGTTTTGGTCTCTGAATGAGTCAATCACATTTTCTGTACTCTCGTCTCATTCCCACTGATCCATTCCCTTTCTCTAACAGAATATTCCTACCCCCCGCCCTGATCACATTAATTGAAAACATTGCATAATTTTTCCAAAATTTATTCCTAATTGTTCCAGTATCACCATTTACTAACGCATAATATGCAACTAGCACCAAAAAATTCCTACTTCCATATGCACCCACAACAATCTAAGTGACACCAATTCATACTTTTTGGCATACACGTTCACCCTTTCATTCATAATCAAGCTCACACTTTCACTTCCTTGTGTGTATACATCAGCTTCACTCCACAAGATCAGACCACCTTATTCTGACCTATTAAAACCCCTTTTCTCTTAGTTTCACAGATACTACAAAATACCTTTCGTTTCTTGATTCGTCTTCCATATGCTGTGGTCATCTCCAACTCCCTATTAACACTGGCTGCTCATCATGGCTTTCATACAATGCTTTTTAGTAAGCGAGAGGAGACAACCACATTAACAGCTTAACTGGGTAAATGGCATATGCAACATTCCCTGTTAACAATAAGGACAATACCTGTCAGTTTTGGCACATTTTGGCTAGCATGCCACAAGCACAACCAAAATCCAGTTTTACCCCAAGTATGTTTGGGCTCTTCTATGCAAGCCAGGATTTCTAATTTAGAGACAATCTCGCAAGTCAAAATACTGTTGTTTGCATCCCACCAATCAGAGATACATGCACTGTAGTGCTGCACTCAGGATATGCTCCTCAATTAATAACTATTATCCAATTAGGCAATATGTAATGGTCTCCTAAGGTCCCAACTACTTCTGCATAAGAAAAAGATGAACTGCCTTTTCTGCTTTCAAAATGCTCATTTTTCCATTTTCAAAGATAAGTCCCCATTAAAACATCTTCAGATCCTAAGGCTTCAACCAAGCTCCCTTTCACCAGAAACTGCTTTTTCAAAATCTCATAGATCATTCAAGATTTACAGTGAATTGCCAAATTGGGGGAGGGGGGGAAATGTTAGGTCTGGAGTAATGATACGTGTGGGGAAAGTACTGCATCATCTGCACCATCGTTTTGTGACTGTTTACATAGCTGGGCACCCAAGAAATAATCAGACTAACAGCCCTCTACTCAGACAGAGCTTATGCGTGATATTAGCATGCATCCATATTTTCTTTGGCCAAGCACTTAAAGTGAGATAAAAAGCAGCATGTGGGAAATGGGAGCCAGGGCATTCAATTCTTTCTGAATATATTCACTGACAGCCACATCCAAATGGGTATTCCAGTTCAAAATGAATCCATGATGGGCATTTGGCCATGCATTTAGTTCAATTACGCTTGAAAAAAAATTGCTCGCTTGCTTTGGAGAGCAACAGAGCCATTTGTAGTTAGGATATATACCTATTTTACAGGGAGTTTGAAAACCTGGTTTTCTGAGAGAAAGCCAGACGGATGCCAGATTAATTCCACACCCCTTCTGTTCATGTAGCTGACTCATTACACTTGGAAAGCTGGCTGCCTCTTCATGTAAACAGAGCACTGGCCTATTTAGCAGCTTGGAGGGAGTATTATATTTGCACAACAATTACCAGCAGTGCCTGAAATCTCCATTTTGTTTTACAGCACATTGTTAAGGAGTCTGAGGTGGGGAAAAGAGAAGAGTTACAAATACACACTTTGAACCAGCTTTCCACCAGTGGGGGGAAATGGCCTCTATGTTCCATTTAAAAAAATGTCTCATCTTGCCTTTAAGAAATGGTCAGCTATCATTTCTGACCAATCTACTTTCTTGAACTATGACTCTGCTTCCCATGCAGAACACTATTTAGAAAACAAATACGTTGAAGACAGCCCAACTGAATCCTTGTCCATGCAATTTTGTTTCTATGGAAGCCCAAATAGGCTCAGAAACATAATAAATAATCCTCCAACTATTCTCAGCTACAACAAAGAAAACTATTTAGATCTGGCACACAGCTAAGCACGTGCAACTGGACTCCACCAAGCCCT